TATTTTCCACATCCTTTCTAGTTTCTTTTTCAGGCCTTGGTATCTTTCCAGCTTCTTAGACTTCCTTATATCTAATATATCTGTTAAGGACAGCATTCAATAATACCTTTAGCAGTTTTCTTATTCCATTTCATTCATACTACCATGTTCTTTCACAACTGCATTTTTTCCTTCCTAAGTTTTGAATAATTTATATAAAGAAAAGAGGAGGAGTTTAATGTTCCCCTTAATACTCAGTAGAAAATATTTGAGTAGTTATTATGCCTTTGAGACACTCCATAAAATACTTATCTAATATTGTTTCATACTTTTTGGGTAAATTTTTTTGCGTCTTTCTTGATATTTGCATAGAATTGGAAATGGAAATATTTTAAAACTTGTTAGAGCAGATTAATATACTACTTTGTTTGCACTGAGGGAAAGAAAATCCATTTGTTTTTGTCTTTTTGTTGCCAGATTAGTTCCAAAATATAACAATATATTATAATGGAAGAAATCAAAGTGGTCATAAGAGATCATTGGAACATTTTAATAAAATATAAAATCACTTAGCTTATAAATGGATCTGGATTAAAATATTTTTGTTTGTTTGTTTCAGAATCATTATTCCCACATTTTGCAGCTGTAACTATCAGATTTCTTAGCACTTAAGCTACTCATCAACTACCTTCAAATGGCTTGTTTTACAAGCTGTGTAAAAAAGTAATTTCAATTTAGGCATCAAAACATATTTTCTATCAATGAAATTGTTTCTTGCAAGTTTAATTGAGCATTGAGGGACAAACCAACATACCATATATTATTTTACAAAAAATAAATTTTACAAGGGCAAGTGTTTGATAACACCCTTAGTGTAGATTAATATGTAGCTAAGGCTACATTCTTCCCCGTGTTGTTGATTTTCTTTGCTGCTAATTAACCAATATTAATTAATTGCATTGGTGATGAAGATCCAATTGATTTTGCTTGTAAATATATGTGAGTGAAGTAGGGGAAGAGTGTGCTAAAATCTAGATGCAGAATTAATATTTTCACATTTAATGCAGAAAGTTTAGGGATAAGAAAATGAACTGGAAATTAAACTGTTTCAGTTCATATCAAACATAATGCACACTTATCAATTTCAATATTTTCACTAATGAGGTAGTTTTTGTATGAATTGCACTGAAATACATAATGCAGACAAGTCTATTAACTTATTCTATTTTTTAATACTGAAGAATGGGAAATAGACTATACTGATTTTAATTTATGAGAATTTTAAGCAAAAATAGTCAGGCTGAAGGATGCTGTTTACATAGTAAATTAAAAGAAGAATACTTAATATTTATTTTGCTGTTTGAACAAAACTACTGTGAATGTAATGACTGTCCTTGCTCCCTTTGATAGACTATTTGTAGCTCAGGATTGAACTGTGGAACCTTGGTGATCTCTGGTCTGGGTAATTTTCTTGCAGATGTTTCATTACCAAACTCAATGCAAATATGATAATATGTAGTACTGATAATGTTACCTAATTTGGTAATGATGCATCTGCAAGAAAACCACCAAGCTCAGAAAGCTCCAAGCACCCCTCATTCCTTTATTCTCTCTTCCTTTTTCATTCATTCTGCCAATTTCTCTTTTCCTTCTTCTTCCTAGTTTAGAATTGATAAATGATGTAAAAACTTATTTATTTATTTATTTGTCTTGTATGCCTCCCACTCCCGAAGGACTCATATCAGGCCTTTTATAACTAATTTTCTAGCTTTGGGTGAAGTTCTTTTTAAATAACTGAATTTTAATTTCCTTGATTAAACAAATAAAAATTTGTCATGGTATTTGTTATTCTTTTTATATTTTAGCAGATTTTTCCAAACAAAAAATAGCTAAACTTATCCCCATTTTGACTTTTATTCCTCTAAGTAGGCCTTTGCATATATTTTATTGATTCACTAAAGATATGCTATCCATGTCTGGAGTTTCTCCAGGAAAAAAGTGAAACTACTCACAACTATGTACAGTAGCCAGGATTTTCTTGATTTTTTTTCCTAACCACTTATAAGGATTTTGTTGAACATTAAAATTTATCTTATTTTTTAAAACAGCTAAATAATTAAAATTGCATAAAACCACATTATCCATGTTTGGTGTTTCCTTATTAAATTTCAGCACGCACAGCTGAGACAACTTTAGAGATTTAAAAAAATCAGGTTTGAGGTGGAATATGGCTTGTAGTACTATAGCTTGCCAACGTTGACCCTCAGTGGAACTTATTGCTGGATAGTTCTTAAATTATTTTTGGTAACTCTTATTAAGTTACAGCTACCACAATATTATCTGCTTTCACTTCTCACAACACATTGATTTTCTTACTTTATAAGTTGTCTTTCATTAAATATTTATTATTGATATCCTGTATGCATGATACAGAGCAGGGGTATTTGGTGAGATGAACTCCAAAAATATTAAAAAATGAAAATTCCATTTACATTTAGTACACTGGTGTAGCATAGTAGAAACCTCTGTGGGCATTTAATATTTCAGAATAAAGGATTTGGTTTAATTTTTAAACATGTATTTCATTTTATGTTTTATTTAAATTGTTTTAACATTTGCTAGAAGCCACTGAAGGATTTAAACTTTTGAAACTTAGGTTAGATTAAAAATAGACATGAAGAATGCTGCATAAAAAGAATAGCAGAAAAAGGGAGGCCAGGGGTATCAGAGTATATACCACTGAGAATGAAAATAGGCCTGATTACAAAGCATTTACTTGCAATCTGTACAGTGCTAAAGAAACTTGATAGAATCAGGATGATAATAAATAACATGTATGTCTTCATGTACTAATTTAAAGAATAAGAAAAAAAAAACCTCCCAGTTAATGTGCAAAATAGGTTTGGTGTAGCTATTCTTTAGCTAAAAGTTTTGACTTAAAAAATGAGGAAACAGTTTAAAGATGTTAATGAAACAAAACAAATAGTTGGCAAAAATTGAATATTAGAACAAAAATAGGAAGAGATGATAGAGACCTTTGGGACACTGAGATGTACAATATAACTGACATTAATCTTCTGTTTTTGGAAGGAGTTAATATGGAAAACAAAATTAAAGAAACATTGAACAACTGAACATTTTTAACTTCCCCAAGAGAGGATGGAGATTACAGTTTAAACATTAATGCTAATAGTTATACATCATTATTTTTCTCCTGCAGGAAAAATATTTTCTATACATTTATTTTTAATCTAATTTTGTACATTTTTACTGTGTATCTGTTGTTTTTATATGTATATTTTTATCTGATTGTTGTGCTCACCCAGAATCACTTTTTGGTGAGATGGGCAGCTGTACATAAGCTGATTCATAAAATAAATAAACACTTGTTCACAACCCACCAAAATTTGCTAGTAGCATTAATAGTTTCTTCAACTCTTTTTTCCTCCAGAGAATGGATTTCTGGAGTATTATCACAGGCAAATTTTGAAAAAGGGCTAATATTTGTAAAGTGCCAATGATGGAGTAGCTTAAAGCCATTTTGAAAAGCTTAGCCCTCTTTTAGAATGACACTTAAAACTGTAAGAACTTGAATCAAATAGGCAGAAAGAGCTGGAAAGTGCCAAGGTCATAAAAGTTCATCATTAATAAATGAACAGTAAAGATCACACGCAGAGGTAAAGAACTTACATAATGAAAAAATACTTGTATTACCTGCCGACTGATGTTAAGCAGGGACTGGCCTATTTGCATTAACCTAATAATAATCAGAACTGTGTATCTTCTTTGCCTAAAACTGTATAAGTATGCTGCAAAATTGCAAACTTGCACACTTGCTTTGTGGCACCTGCTCCAATAAAATCCTAGCTAATGATTTTTTTTTATTTTTTGTTTGCTTGTAAATGGGTAGGAAAATGATAAATGTTCTACATTCTTAAATAGATTTCTCCATATAGATCTTCTTGATTATTTCTTCTTAGAGTATCTTCTGTCTCTCCTGCTTTAAACTATATTATGATACACCATACTGATTTGCAAACTATAATAGCAGTATAGCAATAGCAGTAGACTTATATACCGCTTCATAGGCCTTTCAGGCCTCTCTAAGCGGTTTACAGAGAGTCAGCATATTGCCCCCAACAACAATCTGGGTCCTCATTTTACCCACCTCGGAAGGATGGAAGGCTGAGTCAACCCTGAGCCGGTGAGATTTGAACCGCTGAACTGCTGATAATTACTGGAAGATTATTTGAGTTTTCTTTAATGTTAAATTGAAGAATTAACTATATCTTTGTTAATGTGCATATGAAGAAAAATTGATTTTGAAAGAAATTACATGCTTGTTTTTAGATATGCATGTTTGTGTGTAATATATCATGCAGTTTATTTTAAAAGATACATCCCTTTTATTGAAATAGAGATAGAAGGTGAAATACAAATTCAATGAGTATAAATTTTAAAGTATTTTATTATGCAGAATTATGTTTTAATTGGATAAAAATGTTTCAGTTCATACATTTCAGTAATTAATTAATAGCATAAATAAAATCATTTATGATAATTTGGTTATGGGTTTTGGCAAGTGTAACACAAAGAAAAAAATCCTTAGTATATTTTGCAAAATCAAAACTGTGACTGAATGTAGGATCAGGACATGGGTTAAATGATAATAGTCAAAGAAGCATTATGCATATTGATAGGTGCAAACTTATTATTCAAAGCAGAGTTAAAATATATCACAATGTAATAATGGTTTCTATTTCATGTACAAGGTCAAAATATAGTTGAACAAAACTATTAGCAGCAGTGAAAATTAGCAAAGGGGGACCATTTTGGAAGATTGGGGAAACAAACCCTTATCTGGATCTGTCAGGCCTTAGCAGGTTACATGGAGTAAGTGCAATGTGTTTCTTTTTAAATCAGAACCCCACTTTGAATGTGGTCTAGCTGAACAAATCCTATGCCTACCCTCTAGTCATATTACTTACAAAATGAAAGTCTATGCTGTCATTTCTTCACAGCAGACTGTATTCAAAGAATGAGACAAACACCTCCTCTTGATGAATTGCAGCCTCCACCATATATGGATGATAGTGGCTCTCCGCATCTTTCCTGTACACCTTCTGAATTTGGTGAGAGCAAATGTGAATTCTCTCAGTGCAGCAACAGTCCAAGATGTTCTTATAAATGCCCAAGTGAAGGAAGTAACGGGCATGAAATAGAAAGTTTCCATAACAAAGGATATGAAGAAGATGTGCCTAGTGATAGTACTGCTGTCCTTAGCCCAGAGGTAAAAAAAAAAAAGTTCCCAAAACTGTTTAGCATAAAATGAAGCATGAATTTTTAAAGCTCTTTTCTATTATGTATTGACAGGTATCCATTGATTGACCTATGTATGTGCTTTCTGAGACACAATTTTAGAAACTCTCATTAAACACTTTTTCTCAGGTTAACATTGATGTCAAAGGTCTTTTCTGTTTACAAAAGGAAGGTCAGTGTAAGAGCAATGCTTAGAGTCTTCATATTACAGTATTAAGGTGTAGGCCCTGGAAGACTATACAGTAGGATAAGTAGAACTGCTGAGCTAAGAGTTACATTTCCCTAGTTTATGCTCCCTAACTATTCTACCTCTTTTCCTGGTGCATTTTCTTGCCATTTTGGAATAGGAAACACATAAAAGCTCTTAATTTTATACCAAATTTTATATTTATCACAATTTGCAACAAAAATAATATAACAAAGCCTTGTTGACTATATGGTATTTGGACCCCTGTCTTCTTAATACCTGTTAAAACAAGTGTTAACTCTTGTCTTCTTTACAAGTGTTAACTGTTGCCCCTGACTACAGAAATGTTGCTTATTTCTGTCCTCTTGCATAATATTTGACCCAGTAGGATGCCAAACCAGCCGACTTGAGCTATTCTCAAAAAGCTAAGCAGGGTCTGACTTGGTTAAGACTTGGATAGAAGAGACCTGAAAATCCAGGGTTATAGACTAAACTGGAATTATAAAATATCCTGTGAGAAGGCAGCAGCAAACTACTTCCTTGTTGTTGCTTCAAAATCTATGTAGGTATGTCCACAAAATCACCAGTACTGAAGTTGAAGTAGATAAAACGTTACCTTTTACTTTTACATCACAGGCTGAGATTTGGAATTCAGCCTTAAGAGAAACAGACAAAATTATAATACATACATACATACATACATACATACATACATACATACATACATACATACATACATACATACATACATACTCCTGAACTTCACAATATTTCATTTAAAATTAGGCCTATTTTCCTTTCCTTCCTTAAAATGTATATTTTGTAAAGAGACTCAAGGAATTAAGGAAAGTTAGACAAGTTGTCATTCATACAACTATCCAGAGGCATTTGTAGGACTCAACATTTGTATCAAAATGGCCTTACATTATACAAAATCTGTCACTTTTGTTTATGCATGCAAAATCATGATTTAAACCTGCCTGCCTGCTGCATACACACATAATTCAGATTACAACACCGTTAGCTTTTAAAAGCTATTCACATAAAAGTTATATTGTGAATATCATCTTATCTAATTTTTCTTTTAATTCTCTATTTTTTTGGTCCTTGCTTCTATGTAATAATCAATGTGACCAAAATTTGTCATGCAATTTTCTGTTTTATATTTATATTTATTTTGTTGTTATTGCAATCAGTATAATTTTGTTGAAAGCTGTGTGTTTTGTTATTTCTTATTGCATTTTAATGAAAAGCTACAATTCTGCACAAATGCTGCAGTTATGTGAAATTTTGATAACTGTGTGGCTCCATGAGAGAAAAAAATCATCCATAGTAGGAGAATATTGTCATTCAGAATCAGAATACATTGATTGCTCTAACCATGGATTATAAAACACAGTAATCATCAGGGCTGCACAGAGTTTTGAGGAGATATTTTGCATCAATGAATTTTCATAGGAAAAAATGTTTTGAAACTGCTTTGCGAATCAACATGCATGTTTCTAACAGTGGAATAGCTGTGTGAATATGTCATCTAGCAGCTCTTAACTAGTCTTCCTGTCTTCCAGCAACTAGAACTGTTAGATAAGGCTTTATGTCAACACAAAAATTGCAATATTTATTAATTTCATAAATAATGATAATCCAAATTCTAGAAGTTAACCAAAGATCAAGAAGCCCTCATTCTAACTTTAAAATACAAAATAAAAATGCTATATTGCATTTAGAAATTTAGAGAATTGCATCTCCTAGTACATATCTTTATTAGGATTAAACAAATGATATGGAGTTTTGATCTTGCAACAGTTAAACAACTTAGAATGCACACCACAAATCAAAACCCATGTGAACAATTGGCAGTGAAATAAATTGAATATGTAGATATATTAGTAGAGATGTGCACATTTTTTGTTGTTATTGAGTTACAACCCAAATTGTTCTATTCTGTCCTTGGAAAGATCATTCCAATTTTGAGATTGGAGGGAAGTACATTTTGATTCTATCAAAATTCTTGAAATGCTCTATATTGATGTAAGAGTGATTCATTTTGAATCAGACCTGTTCTAATATGGTCAGAATGAGCCATTCCTATAATGGGACAGTTTGGATATTTGGGGAGTGGAACATTTCAATCTCAAAATGTTTTTTCACATTTCTAGTAGAAATGAATAAATGATCTATTTATACATCTCTTTGGTTTAAACACATCTCTGTTCTAAGATGTAATAAAATTTTGGATATTCTTTTTCCAATGTCCCATTTAACTTTTCCTGCAATCTATAAAAGTATATTTTTATTGCTGTGCATATATTGTCCTTAATAGATTGTTTTATTACTCTATACGTGAAATAAACAAAAACTTCCCATAATGCAAGGAAAGATATTTTTTATCTCATATATATATATGAGATTATATATATGTATGTATGTATAGATAGATAGATATAGATATAGATATAGATATAGATATAGATATCTATTTAGAGTTACAACCCCCGGTATGCCCAAATATGGAAGTTCACTACTTCCATTCTCTGTCCATCGGCTCGTCACAAGAGACCATCCAGACAGAAACCCAATATTTTTACTGTTGCCTTTGTTACATTTTGTGTTGTATTTGTGCTGATAAATAAATAAAGATATAGATATAGATACAGAAGATATAGATATGAATAAAATTACTTTTATTCATATGTATCAGTAGTAATATAAATATTTGAACACATGTGCATGACTGTAAACTTACTTTTTTCTGTCTCACTCACTTAGAATCTGTCTGTTCAAGGATCATCATCACAGCTCCCTAAATCTTTTGATCCAGAACCAGAAGCTAAATATGGTACCTTGGATGTGACTTTCGACTATGACTCACAGGAACAGAGGCTTTTGATAACAGTCACAGCTGTCACAGACATTCCAAATTATAACAAGACAAGTGGAAGTCTGTGGCAAGTACACCTAGTTCTCCTTCCAATCAAGAAACAGAGGGCAAAAACCAGCATCCAGCGTGGTCCCTGTCCTGTTTTTACCGAGACATTTAAATTTAATCATATTGAGTCTGAGATGATTGGGAATTATGCAGTACGCTTTAGACTATACAGTATACGTCGTGTAAAAAGAGAAAGAATTTTAGGAGAAAAGATATTTTACTTAACCAAATTAAATCTTCAAGGAAAGATGTCAGTACCGGTGACTCTAGAACCAGCATACAACATTTCTGTAAGTATTAAATCAAATTGAATAAATGTTCAGTCATTCAATTGATTCTGAAGAAAAGTGCTAGAAATTTGAAGCTAACTGTTGCCGTAGGGTAGTTGTAAGAACAAGGAAAGGTATCTTAAAAACCACCTTTTATTATCTGTTACACTGATCATGCTGGTTGGATGCCATGAGAATTCAGTGATCTTTGAAAGGCCATAGATTCATTTCAAGTCAGTGTCAAGATTTTGATTTGGAAGCCCTTAAAAGATTTGAGACCCAAGTATAAGACAAGATGTCTCTTTTTTCCCATCTAGCTTGCCTCATCCAGTTCTAGTTATGAGTAATGCTTGCTCTCAAGAAATGCTAAATTTGTTTGCTAGAAGTATGCCTTATGCTAATCGTATGGCTGTTTTTGTGCCTGGCTAAAACATAGGTATTTACCCAGACATTTTAAAGCAATTTGATGCTTCTGTAATGGCTATGATTAAATCATTTGTTTCTGCTGATTGGTTCTTTCTGTTGATTGGTTTTAGTTCTTTTTCATTATATTGTACAATATATTGATAACAATATAATAATATATAACAATCTATTTCTGATTCAGATGTTGATTCTAACTGAGAGAATGGAAATGAGGACAGCTTCTTCTCCTTTATCCCCTCATGCCTCTGCAATCTACTTTAAAAAATTGAATGACTTAATACAATAATGTGAGGCTGGGGAACAGAAATTGCCTTCTATTCCTTTCTATCATTGAGAATATTTTCAGGAAAAATTCATTCAAGGGTTACTATCTCAAGCAGAAGCAAGTGTTAGCTGAAATCCAACATATTTATTGGCCACTATTGTAAATGTAACAAAAGATGTACAACATACAATAGTACATGTATTACTAGGCAGAATGTTTAAGCTACCAGAAGTAATTGTATATGGCTTATTTGAATAAGTGAAAAACTATCACTGAAATCAAAGGCTACTAATAATTTGGAGACAGCAGGAAAAGAAATTGTTACTAATAATGGGAAATAGTCGGAATAGTGGGAAAGGCATAAAAAGTAGGAAAATATTTTTTTAAAGAGGAACTTGGTTAAATTTTAAACTTCCTAAAAATAATTCCTAGAATTATTTTGAAATTATTATTTCTACATACCATATTTTTCGCAGTATAAGACAAACCTTTTTTCTTCAAAAAAGAGGCTGAAAAACTTGTTGCGTCTTATACATCGAATACAGCATTTTTTGCCTCCCGAAGCCCGGCCCCTTCACCAAAATGGCCGTATGTACCCTTATGAAGGTTTTCAGAGAGCTCCTGGGGAGGGCAGAAATGAGCAAAAATGGGCCTTTTTTGCTCCCCACCACCAGCCTCCAGCAGCACTCTATAAGCCTATGCATAAGGCTATGCATGCATCTATCGACAAGATGGCTGGAGGTTATTCTCAATAATTAAAGATGGAGCTGATAGGAAAGGGTTAAGTTCAGCTCTTCTAGTGATTTATTTTCTAATTAAGTTCCAGTTTCCGCAGGGCTAAATCTTCTACATTCTATGGAGATAGCCTGTTACAATTCAGTCTTAGGTCTGCCATCTTTCTTCTCAGCTTCATTTGATCCCAAAGGCATCCATGGACAAAGAATTGAGATATAAGGAAACAATTGAGCAATGACAAGGAAGAGGAGTTTATCTCATAGTAGAGGGGAATGGCAGCCTTTAAAGGAGACAGTGATATTTTTCCTTTCTCCCTCTTTGTTCCCTAACCCTTGCTCTGAGGTGGTACCCATTTCCCCCTAAAGACCGCACACAAGATTACAATATTCATTTAGACAGCACTTTGTGAGCAGAACAATGAGTGAATCTGTCCAGAGGGCTATAGGTCCAAATAACCCTAATTGTGGAGTGCTCAGCAGTTGAGTGTGAATAGTTCATTTTCTGAACTATTACTCAAAGGAAAAAGAAATTGATCTATCTGTGGCCACCTATCTATTTATGAATATCTGAAAACATGCAATAGACTAAATATTTTTGTTAGAGCTCACTTCTCTCTGACTTGCTTTTGAGGCCTAACATTAAATACTTCATATGGACTATTCAAATATTTTTAGTCATGAAATGTTATGTCGCAAAAATACATCCGTTGAATCAAATGAAACTGGGAACTGCTGTTTCTAAACATATTGCTGCTTTTCATTAGCATGGAAATAGTGAAGCCTAGTTTTCTACTATGTGTTAAATTCCCCGTATCAATAGACATGTGAGCTTAATGTTCTTGCTATTAACATTTAGAATAGAAAGCATATGGCACACTCTGAATTACCTGGTTCTTGAACTCTTTTTCACAGTGCTGAACTGACATAAAAAAAGATCCTTATATACACTTGCACAGTTCCCATAGAACTCCATGAGGAAGTTTACTTTCAATGGTCCTAAAGTAAATCCAGATTAATTATACAAATGCTAAACCATGTAGAATTAGCCCAGCTAAGAAGTTCAAAATGCAGGGCGGGTGTTAGCACAAAATATACATGCCATTGGGCATACATATTAGGATAAGGTGACCAGATTTTCAGATTGGTAAAGAGGGATACCTTTGACCGGGGGGGGGGGTGTTGATTAAAAATTTTATACAGAGCAACAAAAATGTTCATACGCAAAAATAGTATTTTTTATTTCAACATAACTACAATTTACAAATATAAATTGTAACTGTTGCCAAACATCAAAATTTTGATCACGTGACCATGAGGATGCTGCAATGGTCGCCAAGTGTGAAAATGGTCGCTAAGTGTGAAAAATGGTCATCAGTCACTTTTTTCAATGCCATTGTAACTTTGGTCACTAAGCCCATTATACCACCTTTCTTGCCACAGTTCTTAAGTGAATAACTGCAGCTGGTATTTTGTATTTTGGATAGAATCTTTTTTTAAATAGCCTAAGACAATTTAAAAAAAGAATCCACACAGAATAAATCGAAGTAAAACATTTCAAACTATTTTTTTATGGACAATATATTTCAAAGTATTGTGCATAGAATTTTTAAACATGGTTTCACTTCAATTTATTTTGGATAGAATCTTTTTTTAAATAGCCTAAGACAATTTAAAAAAAGAATCCACACAGAATTTTAAAAAATCCTATGCACAATAAATAAAATATTATTTTAAAATACATTAAAAAATAAAAGAAAAAAACACAGCTCACTTACCAGCAGGCTTGCACTACAAGTCAACCCAGAATGATGTAGATGTTAATACAAAGAACTGAGCAAATTGAAATGGTGAAATTAGTCAGGGAAATATTTTTCAAAGAAATTTTGCCACCATTTTGGAGCAGACCTCCAACCTCCATGCCCCTCCCCTCTGGAAAATCCAGGAAGTAACACTCGCAACCTCTCTAGCCATTTCCTGGAGCACTATGGTACTTGGTCATTTTTTCTTATAAACGTGAGTAAAAGGGGCGGGGGGTCCGTTTTGTTGCTTTAACCTTTTAATATCTTCAATGAAAGTACTGAGACAGAGAGAGGTATTAGACAGGGTGTCTTTTGTCTTGCCCCGGTTAGGATTTCTTAACCAAATCCACTGGGCTTTCAACATGAAGCCAGAAAATCGGGACTTTTTTAAAACGGCCCGGGACAATTGTTATAAAGCGTGACCATCCCGCTGAAATCAGGACGTCTGGTCACCTTATATTAGGAGGATTTGAGAAGAATGACTGAATCTTCAAATAATTTGTCACTTACAACCTGGTCACTTTGCAATTTGACTATTACAAAATGTTCTGTGTGGGGTAGCCCTTAAAGACCAGCCAGAAGTTGTAGCTGGTTCAAAACATAGCAGTATGATCCATAATAGTCACATCTTGTTATATCTGTATGTCATAACTCATTGACAAATGACATTGGTTGCCAGTCAGCTTCTAAGTGCAATTTAAAGTGTTGGTTGTCACCTATAGAGCTCTTCATGGCATAGAACCTGAGTATCTCAGGACTGCTTGTCTCCACCTGATATGTTCAGATAGAGTGATTTTGCTCCTGTTTAGTGAGTGTGTGTGTGTGTGCCTTTGAGTCCGTTTTTGACTCTTGATGACTGCCTGAATTACTTCCTGCAGTTTTCTTGTCAAGTTTTTTTCAGAAATGATTTACCATTGCCTGCTTCCTGAGGCTTAGAGAAAGTGATTGGCCCAAGGTTACCTAGTTGTTCTTGTGCCTAAGGCAGGACTAACTTCACATTCTAGCCTGATGTATTAATCACTACACCAAACTGGCTCTATCAAGGACTAATGGACAATGGATTTCTAGTACCTCCATTGCCCTTCTAAATTGGGAATGCAGAGCTATCTCAAGTCCTTAGCTGAACTGATCTGAACTCTGTTTCATAGGTTGAATTACGATAATTATCCACCACTTTGATGTGAATATTCAGAGTCTATAACCTAGCTGTGCGTTGAGGCCACCTAAAATCTTGGATTGCAGTAGAAAGAGCCTAGATAAAGCTCCAGTGTTCCTTTAAACAATAGGCAGCTGCAATGCCAGAACATGAAACACTTCCCCCTGAAATATATACTTCCTCCTTCCTTAGACACATTGCATATAATCCCATCTCTCAGTAGTCTGCATGTAGGGACCCTTCCTTAAAACAAAGCATTGTCAGACCATTTGTACTGCTGTAGCATAGATCAGTGGTTCTCAACGTTTTCCACCCTTTAAATACCTTTTGTGGCCATGGACTACGAAGACTTAAGATTTAAATCATAACATTTCTTCAAGGCTTCGTGGACCCCCTGTGATGACATTGCAGCCTCCCAGGGTTCCATGGGCCAGAGGTTGAGAACCACTGGCAATAGACAGTGTGCCAGCCTTCTTGCCCACAGTATTCCTTTTGAGGAAAGATCCCTCAAAATAACACATCTGTTAGGTATTTGGAACAGTAGACCTGCTTTCTTCCTCACTGACCAGCCTAGAGAGACACACTGGCTATTTTCTAACTTCAGCATTTTATATATAAAGAGAGCATGGGAGCTGTTTAGATCAAGTTTCTCAGCCTTGGCAACATATGTGGATTTCAACTCCCAGAATTCCCCAGTCAATATGCTTAAATATCTTAAAGTTGCCAAGGATGAGAAACTAGATCTAGAGATCTACCCATTTTCTTCTATGAGAACTTTCCTCCTAGTTGACATATTAGGCTTTTCTGCTTATGAGAACACTATGCAGCAGATAGATGTAGATCAGGGGTGTCAAACTCATGTTGTCAAGGCAGCGTCACATGATGGATTGGGGCTTTTTCCCCCTTTGCTAACGTGGGTGTGGGCATGGCCAGCGCGGGACGCATCTGGCCCGCGGGCCCTGAGTTAGACAGCCCTGATGTAGATAGTGCTATACAGATAGTTGTGAGTGCATTCTCCGTAATGGATAATTTGGGCTCTGCTCTTTCTAGTCTACTGTTTGAGATCCAAAATGTGTCTCATGGGAGGGAAGGCATTGATTTGGAAAGTTATCTGTGACTTAAAAGTGAAAATTGCAACATATGATAGGTATATATCTGCCTGTCAGGCATCAATATATAAAAAATAGTTAAGCAGTAATTCACTGCCTTGTCACATCACATTCCAGAGAGATTAAATAATTTATCTTCTTAATGTTTATCTCACTATGATATACTATGTAAGTTTTATTGTAAATCTTATAAAGGTATTGTAGATCAAGTATCAAATGAGAAAAGAAACACAAGGGTCCTATTGCTACCTCATCAAATGTTTATTAAGAAAGTTGGAACACTAATTTACTACAGTATATCAAGTCTGCTTGTCATTTCATTTTCAACATACATTAATAGTTTAAGTTTGGGAATAAAACCAATCTATGAACTGTGTGATGCTTTTGTCTGTAGAATAATTTGTCTATGTATGTATTTTCAATATCACTTATGATTTCAGAAAGAAAATTTGATATAGCTTTATAGACTCTGGAATAATAAATTAAGTCTGTACATAATAATATTGAAATGTTTCAGTCTCCTGGTTATACTCAGTTAAAGAATGGGTTTCTTTTAAAAAATTGATTTTACCTTAAGTAGTCTTGTATGGGAGGTTTGTATATAAGAATTTCATTGTTTCTTGATAGTCAAGGGAATATCTAAAGAGATGCCTATGCCATGTGCACTTTAATCTTGTGGTTTGAAGCCTGAGAAAAACAGATAGCATGGTCTTAAGGGCCTTTACTGTTGAGTCAAACACCGCTAAAATCACCTGGAACAGAACTTCAAGAAGGCAGGCAGATGTTGATATAAAGGAGCTGTACAGAGGGACATCCCATTAATGGTCCTGTCAGATTTCTTTTATGAATTTAACAACAGCTAGAAGCACTGTGTCTCATAACCAGAGGCATCACGTTGGCAAACATGACTGATCTTGGGGGAGGGTGGCAGGGTAGGGTAGCAAAATGGTGTTGGATCTGGTTAGAACTTGCTTTGGAGACTACCAGGAAAACCCTGGGTTGTAAATTAGATTAGGTAACTTTTGTCCCATTAGGATATTTTTCAAAGCCATTTCTTTACCTAAACAGAGAAACAGAATGACTGCAGGAAGGGGAGGAAAAGCAGTGGGAGTGGGGGCAACTTCCAAATTCCTGCTGGCTTTCCCATTGACTATCTTTGTGGGAAGTTGGCAGGGAGCTTCAAAAATCTCCCTCCTTCCTTTCTATCCTTATCTCCTTTTATCTTCTCTCCATTTCTTCCTTCCTCAAGTTCCTTTCTCCTTCCCTCCCTCCTTTCTTTCTCCTCTGATTTCTTTGCTTATTTTCCTCCTTTTCTTTCCCTTCCTTCCCTTCCTCCCGCCCTCCCTTTCATCCTCCCTCCCATCCTCCCTTCCTTCTTGATATTCTGTCATTATTTTTCTTCCCTCCCTCCCTCCCTAGAATTCCTGCCAGCTTCCCTATTTACTTTGCTTGCCAGAAGTTTTTAAGGAAAAAACCAGTGGGGAAAGCTAAGGCCAGCAGGCAGGTAAGTGGCTGCTATTAGATAGGGCAGGAGCAAAGGATATGCGTGTGTGTGAGAGAGAGTTGCTGTGCAAGAAGAAGGTGTGGGTGCGCACAAGAGATGATGTGCGGATTGGGCAAGGCATGCAGGTGCAGTGCAGGTTGAGAAGGGTGCAAGAGGACCCCAGAGATGTTAGAGATGTGTCACATAGATTGGGGAGGGCACACAGAAGTGGTATGGGTCAGGAAAGGTGCATGGGGGTGTGCAAGAGGTGTCACATGGGTCCGGAAAAGTGCTTGCAGTGTGACATAGATCAAGGGGTTCCATGGGAGTTCCTTTCTCTCTATCTGTCCTTTCCTCCCTTCTCCTTCACTTCCCTCCCCTCCTCTCCTGTTCCTCCTTCCCTTCCTAACAGGGCAGCAAGGATTGTGAGAGTGATTGGGAAACTGTCACAGACATTGAAAATGAAGATCATGTGACTGCAGCGTATATATGGGAGAGTTTAAAAACCTAGTTACTAGAAGCTGAATTAAGATTGAAAAAGATTTGACTCAGCTCAACTTGACTTTGCCAGCTATTTAGCATCAGTAGCAGACACATGGGTTGTTATTATTTTTTTGCATAAGCAGAAAGATAAAGAAAATGCTAGAATTTTGCATATTTGTCTGATTGCTGTTAATTAAACAAAAACCAAGCAAACAAAAATCAGGGCTTCTGTTGTTTGTGAAAAAAATGCCTAACAAACTATATTATTTAATTTCATACGCTGTATGTTGTATGTGTACAAATTAGCAGATATCCGATGTCATCATGCTGTGGATTCCTGCTTTCTGACCTATTTTTTCTTATAAAGTGTCTTTGTGACTAAAGATGTTATTTTGGGTTTCCCTAAAGGGAAATGCTTATAGGAAAAGTCTGTTGATGATACCTGAATATTTTCATTTATATATTTTACATATTTTATTTATTTTTAATATGATTACTATATTGGATTTGTATGCCACCACTCAGAATCTATTATGATTATATATCTTTAACACCAGTAAACAGACAAACAAGCAGATAAGCTCATTTCTACTCAAAGAGCTGTGCTTAGCATTTGCCAATAATTCTGTAAGTCTTTGTGATACACCTTTCTTTGGCATATAAAGTGTGATAGGCAGTGGAGATTTAGTTTGCATTTAGTGGTATAAATATGGCTTATAGCATTCCCCCTATTCATTCATTTATTTATGTATTTCCATTACGTTATGCACCATTAGGAATGAAAAATTCTGGAAATTAATACTAGGAGCAGATTCCTCACTATTGTGATGACTTAAAATGATTGCAAATGCTGCTTTTGCTTCTAGGGCTGTGAGTCCCAAATGAGCATGTCAGAGGCATCCTGCAGCGAAAGTATTTCCTCTTGTCAATCTTTGGCACATGGCTCAGCTCCCGAAATCCTCATCGGATTGCTTTATAATGCCACAACTGGAAGACTAGCAGCAGAAGTGATAAAAGGCAGCCACTTCAAAAACTTGGCAGCAAACAGACCACCCAGTGAGTAGAATATATATATTATTTCATCTTAATACTTCTGCACTTGGGGGGATTTCACTGGTAGGGACTTCAGTCCTATCATTTAGCCTTACCCAGTCAAACTGAAATAGTATAATCATCAGCTAATCTGTTTCATGTTTTCATTGGGGAAATGGCAGTAATCTAAAATTCTAAATATTGGTTGCGATTCAACAAGATCCTTTTAATTTTTTATGATTGACTGGATGATAAATTGCCTTTATCTTAATGATTAACTACTAAACTATTAATGTATCATATAACAAAGACATTGTAGAAAATTATAATGTATTTTAAAAGTTGTCTGTTGGTAAATGTTTATGTAAATGTGTTGCCGTCTCTGTGGTTAATAATACTAAAATAAGATGTTATAAATCTATGAGAATTTGATATCAGCATGTGGTAATATATACTTGATATTCTCTGTGGTGATTAAAAGTAGTATTTATTCTTCATTCCAAATAAATATGCATGAATTGTCATGTATATTTGTGTGGTGTATAATTTTCAAGGAAAAAAATTAAAGAATGTGATAAAATGACCACAGCGAAATATAAATATATTTACAATTGACATAATTTATTTAACTTTTTGTACATTTATAATGACCAGATTCTGCAAAAAGGAATCAGAAGTATGTCTGACAACTGGATCCAAATCCTGTTCCTATAAAAGTCTATAAAACTACAAAAAAGTCTAGCTACTGTATATCTACAAAAGTCCATTTGAAAAAGTACAATTAAACAAGACCAATATTTATTTATTTATTTAGGAAACTTATATGACTTCCTATCTTTTTTAATATAATCCTAGGTGCTTACAATAATATTAAATACAAATATAAATAAATAACAAAATCCCATAATATACCTGATTAGTCTAATTGTGGTACTGCAACATCACATAAACTCTTCATAGTCTTAGATGTGCTGGGCTCCTGTCTTCCCCTAGTCAAAAGCCTGGTTGAAGAGCTTCATAGCCCTTAGGAAGACTAATAGATTGGAAGCCCTGTTAAGTTTTCTGTGGGCAGCCAGAGAAAAGGCACACCACACTTCTTATCATGCCTTCAGATAGGCATATTTCAGGTGACTAGATCCCTTCTCAGTAAAACAATGAGACCAAAGGGAAGACTTGACATGATGCTATTTTCAAAATATTATAAGAGCAGAAATGTGCCCTTATAATATTGAAACCTATTGCTTATCCATTTTGACAGCAAATATTTAAATAATTTATTTTTAATCTATGCTATAGGACCGAGAAAATTATACTAATAAATATGCATGAAATGATACGAATATGACATCAAGCTGCTATTTATTGGGGGAAAAAATATGGTTGTACTTTAAGGTTGCTATAATGCTCACACAGGTTGGTATGAAGAGCAGCTAAATAGTGTATAAAAGTGCCACTTCCAGCTTTCTGATGTTATGCTTTTATTGTCCTAAAAACAACATTTTTAGTTATTTGTTAATCATTTCTGATTTTTGATCACTGTTTAAATTACATGGTTAGCTGCATCATTACATTTAATGTTAAATGTGGAGAAGTTTCCAATTTTCATCTCAACCACAATTAATATCTCATTTCCCAGCCATGATCAAAACACAAATCTTATCATGCATAAGGAAGTCCTCATATGCACTCATGGTTTACCGCTCCCCCACTTAGAAATTATTGCAGAGTAGAGATCAATTTCCATTCAGGATATTAATGGAAGCATTATGGTCATAATGAAAATCTCATTTCCTCCATAGTTATTACGTAGTACATTTTAAAAAATCTTGTTGAGTCTGCCAAGTACAAAATGTATCGAAAATGCTTGCTGTTTCTTACACTCCTTATTTCTAATCAAAACTTCCTTAGAATTTCTAAATGTCTCTTACATGTTAGATTGCAGATAGGTGTCTAGAAGACATACAAAGTGTGACACATTTTTTGGATGCAAACTTTCAGAATATGTATTTTAGATGAGAAAACAACTCAAGAACATAATAAAAGCCAATAGACTAGTCTATATATAGACCAGATTCTTAGTTGGTGTGATGCCTGTCTGGCTGCCTACCTATTTACGAATTACTGGGCCCGGGCGGGGGTGGGGGATAGGAAGATCTTACATTTCACAGTTCTTCATTACACCAAATCAATTTATAAAGCTATTTTCCCAGCTCACTTAAAGCATTCTCTTCTTCTTGAGCCAACAAAAAAATTCAACTGGTATAAGTCTGTAGCCTCATTGCCCATGCCATTTGCCTCTGTTCCAGATTTGAATCAGTTCAGAGTGTGTGTATGTGCGCGCGCACATGCACTTCCCTTTACAAGTTCATAATCGCCTTTGGTCAGATATTTCTCAGATTGTTTCAATCACAGATTTATTGCTTTCTGGAAATGTTGAAAATCTGTGTTTAGAAGCAGTCTAAACAGCAATAGACAGTCTTCGTGAGAGAGGAATTGTAGCAGAAGTTAAAATTAAAATTAATTATCTCTTTGTGTGCTTCATCATAGAGGCATCCCTGGTCAACTATTATTCAGGCCAATCCAACTTCCCTGAATCAGAGAGATATGTAGAACATGTACAAAAACAACACAGCACCTGTTGCTACTCAAAGCTGTATGGCCCTGGAGTACAATGCCCAGGGCCTACAAAAGTGTACATGTATCCATCTTAAGTGGCCAATAGTTCCTGAGCTGATAGAACTCCTTGAAGTCATCTGACAGCACAACTGACAAAATGATTAGTAAAGTATATCAAACTGTGACTGTACTAAAATTGGTTGTTTAAAATACTAGTGTAATGCCAAAACTAGCAAAGGATGACTTTAAGCTGTCACATATGTGAGTTGAAGACAAGATGAAAGCAATTGTCATGGCGGAGAAAAGAGATTGCTGGGGAATATCCACACCATTTTTAGATGAAAGAAGTAAATGACCTTTGTTGCAAAACCAATAAAAATCTATTTTGATATTCTTGATAGATCTAAGAAAAAATGTTTATTTTGTTTATTTTCCATTTCATGTGAACTCACACTATAGTTTAGGGAACCTTGTGCACATAGGGCATTGTCTGTTTATTAATTATCATTGTTTATTTAGTGCTATCCCAATATTGCAATTTGAATTGGAAATTTGAACTTATGGGAAGCTTTTATGTGCACTGAAGAAAACATGTAGCTTTGAATTTTTTTTAAAAAAACTTTGATCTAATAAACTTGCATTATAGCCTAAATGATTTTCTCAGATGAAAGATGCATCAGAGTAGCATTAAATGAGTAAAGTAGCCAGCGAAATTAATTTAACCAGATTTCATTATTTTATTTAGAGTACACACAGAATGCCATTCAGCAATCATTTATTTTATTGTAATTCTATTGACCTTCTCTAGTCTGAGTTTGTTTAATTGATCCTTACTTAGAAAGCTGGAGTTTGCATGAAAAAGAGGAAGGTCTGCTAAAGAACATATTTGATTTCTAGTTGGTAGCCTGATTTTTTGCATGAATCTCCATGCACTTGTGTTTTAAACCCAACAGAAATTACTATTAAGATACTACATTATTTGAAACAGTGTAATTTTTTTTGTTAAAGATTACACAGTGAACATAACTAAATTCATTCATTAATCTACCTACCCATCCTTTTGCTCAATTCTTTTCTCTAAAATTGATTTGTTAAGGTGCTGTTTTCTTTCACTCTGGTGAATAGTGTTTCCTCTTAAACTTTAACCTTTGATCCTGTGTCACCCAACTATTGACATCTGGTCGTTATTTCTTTTACTGCTTTCCACCCCACCCCTGTTGTCAGATGGACTGTTCTGTTGTCTAAAACACTTGATAGGTGGACAGGTTTATATAATACGAGGTGAGTTCCTGTGGAGACTAATTAGATGTTGTCTTTTTCATGCAAAAGAAATCTGCCAGCTTCAAAGCTCTCCACCACTTTCTACCATGTTGGTTTCTGATGATGTACAGTAGTTATTTCACTGTTATATTGGAGGCAGAGCTGATCTCTGACTATGGATGGTGGTATTTCAAAGATTTATAAAATAAACATGTGAATAAATGTCTGGACATTCAATTTCATTATTGCATTTCTTTTTTTTTAACAATCCAAATTTCTTCTTTAAAAAAATCGAATTCATACTTATACCAAAATAAACAAAAACAGAAAATCTTTCTGTTTTTTAAATAAAAACAAATACTAATGTACATACACAATTCAATAATTATGACTGTATTTTTTCAGGCAAAGTGTTTCCGCACAACAGTAACAATGAAAATTTTGAGTATCAATGCTATTTCACTGAATTCATATTCATAGTAACCCCAGTGCGCATATGGAGCTTCAGACAGAGGGGGGTTTCTTCCTTTTCCTCTATGGGTATGGAATGTATCCTCTGTGCATCTAGGATTTTTTATTGTACTCTGAATATTTTAAATATTATATTTATTAAATCTATTTTATACTGCTCCCTGTACAAAAACATTGCAAAGATTTTGTACTTGAATAGTATGGTACGACATGCTATTCATTAGAATTAGTACAAAATAATTATGTACTAATTACGTATTGCACCACATATCTGCATGCAAAAATCATGCATGGCTTTATTCACATGAGTAAATATAAACTTTTATGTGGATAATTTTATATTTTGGCACTTTAATAGTACAAAGTCCAATAAAAAATCTTGACAAGAAACCACATCCATGCAGAGAGATTTTTAGGCAAACATTTCATCATGAACACTGTGATGTTATCACTGCACTCCAATCCCATTCTTTTATCTGTAATTTCTTTTTTCATGTCATTATACACCTATTTATATGATCTAAAAACTTTTATATGCTTTACAGTGCTGTGCCAGTTGTAGCTTGCTAAGTGTTAATGCTATATGTATCTGCTTGGTGCAAATGAGCAAGGGATAATAGTAGGATTATGAGGTATACCTCTAAATCAATTTATTATGAGAGAATAGGTACAATTAAGTAAAAGTCAGAATGAAATATTTTTCTCTGTCACATTATCAAGTTTAGTCAATTGTTCAATTCCAATAAGGTATACACCATAATCTTAAATATAGTCTGATATATTTTGATAGGTGAAATATTTTGTCCAATATAACTCATGTATCAAATTGTCTATTTTGTAGATACATTTGTTAAGCTGACATTGCTGAATTCCATGGGTCAAGAGATGTCCAAATGCAAGACATCCATCCGAAGAGGGCAGCCAAATCCAATCTACAAGGAGACCTTTATTTTTCAAGTGGCACTCTTTCAGCTTTCCGAAGTTACACTTATATTATCTGTGTATAACAAACGCAGCATGAAGAGAAAGGAAATGATAGGCTGGATTTCTTTAGGTTTGAACAGTTCTGGTGAAGAGGAGCTGAACCACTGGACTGAGATGAAAGAATCAAAAGGACAACAAATATGTAGGTGGCACTCTTTATTAGAATCTTAATATACAATTGAAGCTCCACTGAATGTCACCGTACAATGAGATTGTTGTTTTCATACAGCTAAAAGACTCTTACAGAAATTACAAATTTTTGTATTTCAAATTAACATTCCTCTTTTAAAAGTGCACAAAATGCTGTGAAGAAGTATAAACATTCACATTTTCATTTAATATTACTGATTTTTTTAAAGCGCCAGATACAGAAAACAGCAACTACAAGTGTTTATCATGGAACATTTAGGATTCTCTCACCTATTCTTATTTTGGTTAACATACAACTTTTATGTAAATCCTTTATTTGTATGAAATTCTCTTATTGTCCCTCCCTTCCTTTTACTAGTGTTACGCTTCATGTTGTAGATGATCTATCAAGAAGCAGAATGGGGGGAGAAGAATGGTTAAATGGCAGAAAAGAAAGCTCAACAATAAGAGAGAAATATTGTAGGTTTGCTATACTAGAAGTCTTGTTTTTTCCCCCCATTCTTAGTGATTTAACATTTCTGACAGTGTACGTCTGAAGAGTTGCTATGCAAGAGAAGCTAGATGCTGACTACTTATGAGATTCTCTGTGGTGTCTGTTTTAAACATGATTTTCCCCCTCAGAGAGCTGAAACTGTTTTGAAAGAGAATTACCATTTATGGTGCAAAGATGCATAACTTTCATTCTTGATAAATAGGCTTTTGTATTATTTCAAAAGCTGTAAAACGTGTTTGACCAGATTGTAAATCTCACCTCTTAAAAATTATTGGGATGGTGTCTTCAGTTTAACATATGTATGATGCAGGATTATTCATTGTGTGCCTTCTTTGGATCTTAATGAAATAGGACCCAGTGTAAGCACTGAGCACTTTTCAATTTTCTGATTCCTCATTTGCCAGCTTGAAAGCACAGGATCCAAAGATTTGCACAAGGGAGCTTTGGATATGTGATTTTGAAAAGCAGAATTCTTTTCTTTGAAACTGTGCTTCCACATAAATGTTTCTAATGGTACTAATCAAAATATATTGTGTGACTGTTCCATCTTTCCTTAATAAAATTTCTATGCTCAGAAAAAACAAGAAAGAGAAACTATGGGAAAAAAACATGGAGGTTTACAAGTAGAAGACAATAATATCTAATTTCTCCATAAAATTCTATGAATGCAATAGGGCAAAGCAGTGTGATGTAGTGGGAGGTCTATTCTTCAAAGGAAAAAGGTAAAACAATTCACTTGGCATTCAGAAGTTCCTGGATATAAGTAAAGTAGTCCCTTTACCCATTTATAAGAGGCTTGGAGAAGCTGACAACAACTTGCAGGCAGTTTCTTCTCATGGATTTCTCAATGAGAGTTGTTTAGTTTAAGTAAGAAAAAAGAAAGGATTTCACTCATAGATGCTTTTTAACTAAGGTATTTGGTCTTTATATGAATTATTGTTATTGGAAGTTCAGAATCTAAGAAATACATAAATATTTTTTTAAACAAAGTTTTAGAAATTCAGTGATGATAAAATTTTGGAATAATAATATCTGGATAACTTTAGATAATGAATTAATCCCAGCAATTAATTCGCTTTCTTTCTCACACACATGCACACAACCTTGAAAAAGACAGTTTCATGAATTACAATAGTTGATGTATACAAGGAATGAGCTTGTTTATTCAAGAATTCTTGCAATAAATGATTTCATTTCTTTCTTTTCAATGATTGCAAGATTTCAGTTATGTTGAAGGTTAAGATACTGCTTGCCATGAATATAGTGTAAAGATCATGACAGAAGAAAGTATAACTTAACACCCACGATGTCTATGGAATCTATATTGGTTGTAAACATAGCCAGAACTGATGACTTCTATTTAAGTGCTAGAGAAACTGAAAAAAAGAAGGATCAATGCATTTCCTTTTATACTGTATTTTCCGGCGTATAAGACCACTTTTTAACCCCAAAAAATTATTTCAAAAATTGGGAGTCGTCTTATACGCTGGGTATACCAAAAAACTAAAACAAAAGAAAAAGCAATGCCGGCAAGCAAAAGGCCACACCTCCACCAGTGCAGATTCTGACCTTTCAATCGATAACCTCGGTGCTTTTTGCCTGGGCACATGGATGGATGAGCACTGGGATGGCTTAATAAGGTCTGGCTGGAGGAGGAAGGCGCTGAGCTCAAACTACGAAAGCCCGACAGCGTGGAGGCCTTCAGCCGGCTCGTGGGCGCCTGAAAGTAGGGGGTTGTCTTATACGTCCAGTCACCTTATATGGCGGAATATATGGTACTTAAAGTAGACTGATTAAGTACATGTTTAATACTCTTACTCCCAATAATATTGAATGCTGCTATGTTTGAGATCAAAGACGTTGCAGACTTGCATGAATGAATTCAAGTCCGTCACATGAAGAATGTGTAACGTTCCCAGTTTGAAATTTTTTAAAAACCTCCTTAAAATTTCTCAGCCGTAGTCTTAAAATTGTTATTCAGTGCCTTTCATGTTTCACCACTTAAATTTGTAACTATAATGTGATGCTGAATTGATTGATTTTAAAAGTTTATCAAATGATTTTTTTCCCTGTGTTGCATGAAATGTATAGCACAAGAAATGTAACTTTGTTAATAAATACTGTTCAGGATCTTTTGCAAACTTAAATATAAATAACAGTACAATTTATTGTATTATTTCTAGTTCTAAATCTTGTTCATTTGCCTTCATACAAGCCTTGTTTTGTATTTTGAAAATCCTTACTAGGTTGCATTTCAGTTAAAATTTAAGCATTTGGATTTTATTTATGGATTTTAGCTTCAATTCCAAAATTGCTTACCATAAAATATTTACTTCTGAAATGCATGTTTAGAATTACGACTTGCAACATCACAGTGCCTTGAAGAATGGATAAAGTATTTTTACAGAAGAAAGAAATGATGAAAAACTGTGATTATGATCCAGGAAATTCCTGATTCTGAAAGTTTCTTAGTCTGAATTGTTCCTCTATATTTTTCTTTTTAAAATATAGTCTATCATAGACACAACTATTGAACTATTTTGTTGGAAAGCAAGATAGATGTGGAGCAATTAATATATATATATATATTTGTTTTTCTGCCACTGTCATGTTAATACTTTTGTCTTAATTTTGAAATGGTATACACCTTGCTTGGAAAAAAACAATGTATACATAAATATTGTTTGATGGCCTTGTAAACATAATAAACCTTTGATTTGGCATAAAATATTGGATGGGTGCCGGGAATGAAAAACATCTGTTATTTTCTATAGAATTATACAATAAAACATCTTACAGTTTACCACAAGATATTGGGCAGACCTAGTGAATTCAAATCTCCAAATTTTTTTTGACATAAAATCAAAGCAGTACAGCATTGTATAAATGTTTGTGGGGGGTGGGTGGGTTGGTTTCTTTTATTACTGAGGTTTATTTGTTACGGATTTCTACAAACAAGCTTCTGCCAGTAAGGATGTTTTGTATACAAATTGCTTTTTTAGTAGTATCATTTTCAACTGAATGGGTCATGAGATCACATATTGATAAAGCACACATTTTATATGTTTGATGTCCTACCTAAAAAAAAATTTACATATAGTTTTTTTTATATAGGTAAGCCA